TCCCGAGCGTCAGGTGGGGAGGTGATTCTCAAATGAAAAGGAGATGAAAGTGAGCCCCGTAACTGTCTCTCAGGGGGAGAACACCTCAACAGTAGCTCACGAGGGATAGGGGTAAGGAGGTATTAAAAGGATAGGATTAAACAGTATAGAGATACAAAGGGGGAAGAAGAGAGCGTGGCGCAGGGACAGCGGCACCCAGAAGCAAGGAGAAGATAGGAAAGATGGACACGGTCGCCGGAGTCCGAGGACGGGGCGCCACTCGGCGAGAGCTCTTGTCGGCGTCAGGAGGTGGCGTAAGGGGAGCCCAGTCGGCCAGATCTGCGCTGTCGTCGGAGATCGCGGGGGCACAACCGGTCGGCACGAAATCCAGCGAGCGAGTGCCGAGCGTCAGCCTATAGCCTCTCCGCCATCAGTCACGCGAACACCATTTCGCTCGGCGGCTGCTTAACCAAACAGCAGCCAATCCTCGAGACTTGCGTGCGCCACGAGGTGCAGAGGATTTTACAGCGGGTAACAGCAGCTCCAAAAAATTCTGTAGTTCGTTATTCAGGAAAAGACGAAATATACTAACTTGTCTGTTGTTCCATTAAGGAAGTCAGCAAAACTTTCCAAACTTCCCCAATCGCAACAACCGGAAACGCTAGTGGGGTACACCACGTTTGCCACGTAGAAGTATTGCCACTTCGAATGACATGTTGAATGTGGCATCGCCATTTAATGTCTTAACATTGAGCGCTTCACTAAATGACTAAGGTTACAGATACAAGCGCTACGATAATGCTTCTTAGCTTCAAATAATTTCGAAACGAGCGCACGTATCTATATATACAACAGGGCGGACAAATCATGGAACGGCTGAATTCGACGACATTGCTGGACACATCGAAAAGGAGAATAGGTTAGGCGCATCGAACCAACCATTTCAATGGATAGAGTATGTACACACCTTGCGTACACGCACTACACCCTTGAAAACAGGTGGCGCGCACGGAGAGGTCCGCTAAATTGAATGCACGCAAGGCATGCGGCTTCGCAGATGAGGCGTTGATAGACGCGAAACGAGCAGCGATTTTCCTTTTTTTCTTCTTTGTTCTCGATCAACGCCCCTTACACGTCGCGCACGTGGACATAGAAGCGACGAGACGCCCCAAGGTTCGACTATAGGAGGTGTGCCGGGTTCGGCTAATTCAAGATCACGCAAAGAGGCAAGAGAAAGAAACTAAACATAGAGGTGAAACTGAACACCAGGGAGAGATGGCCGCCGATAAGGGTGCGAGGCACGCTTTTGATACGGGCGCCCGTGCAGATATCGACCGGCCAATTAACGGGCTTAACGGACTGCGCCGACGCAAAATCAATAAGGTGGCAAAGCCTCCGTTTGTCATGATTAGGCGCTTCGCTGCTCTCTCTCTCTCGCTGGGCACGCGGGCACATCGCGCCAACGATGCAGAAGACGGGAAAAGTAACTGATCCGCCCGTGTAGAAAGCAGGTTAAAAAAGGAAAGAACTAGCGCTTACGCAAAAGATGTCGAATCGGTGTACGATACATTGTGCACTCTTTTTTTTTTTTTTTGAAGTTGTGGTTTTTGTTAAGAGGACACGAACTTGTTTCACCCAAAAAGTTCGCGACACCGATAGTGACAGCAAGAGGGAGTTGGTGCGACGAAGTCAAAGTTACACTGTTTCGAGCTGTCTCAGTTATATATATGCCGGTAACGTTCCTGCGGACGGCGCGAATGTAATGTTTCCATCCACACGGCACTTGTTTTCTTCTCTCCCAGACGACAATTTTCAGTAATTGCTTGTTTCAGCAAACTTTCTTTTCTGAATGCATTTCTATTTTCTCACGTGCCACGCAGTGCAAAACAAGCGTCTCTATACATATATCTCATCATCAAGAAAAAGATAAGAAGTCTCGTATTTCTAACGGAAACCTCGTGCCTAATGAACAATGCTTCATTGTGGAAGCCGTCTTACCGTTTTAACGAAACACCTTTCAGAAACGCTGTGTGCTTCGCTAAATGAAAAAAAAGAAAGAAATAAAATTATTGGGAAAGTGTTTCATCAGTAATTCTAAAGACGAACACATATCGCTTGATGCATGCTTAGGAAATGTGGTGTAGCCCTTCCACATTTCGATGGTCATAATCTCATATGATTGCCCCGCCGTGGTGGTCTAGTGGCTAAGGTACTCGGCTGCTTACCTGCAGGTCGCGGGATTGAATCCCGGCTGTGGCGGCTGCATTTCCAATGGAGATGGAAATGTTGTAGGCCCATATGCTCAGATTTGGGTGCACGTAAAGAACCCCAGGTGGTCGAAATTTCTAGAGCCCTTCACTACGGCGTCTCTCGTAATCATATTGTGGTTCTGGGACGTTAACCCCACATATCAATGAATCAATAATCCCATATATTATTACTAATATAACCGCAACGTAGATAATTGGAGCACTAACGAAAGCACCTGGATGCTGGTTTGCACGAAAGAAGCGAAATGGATCAAGGGACACCATTTCCTTTAGGCGCAACCGTACAAAACTTACAGATAATAGAGCAAAAGGAAGTGTAGGCGTGCTTCTTGTAGTTTGGAATCGAATCTCAGTAATTATGAACTAAAGCGAGCATGTATTGAAGGGGGCGAAAAAACAAACAAATTGCCACTGGTGAGGACCACACCCTCACCTGCGCATTGCGCATGCGATGCTCTGCCACAGAAACGGTCGTTGCCATAGAGTTTTCTAAAATTAACTAGAGGGGCCTCTGGCGCTGCGATCGTTCAGTGACCATGGAAATGATGGGTAGTACGCGAATTCGCCTATTCTTCGTGCTTGCGGGCCTGGAACGCACTTGCGGCACCGTTTATTGCTGTGTTCTGGTTTTTGTTTCGAATAAAAGAAGGACCACCGTGAACTTCGTGAGCCGATTCGAATTGGTGGGCCTAAAAGGTTAAGGTGGGGAAGTGCAACTGCTGAACATTTGCTAGCTGTAATCTCGTGACAAAGCAGCACCAAGCCACACGAAGCCAAACGTAGCCGAAAGTGCGAAGATAATTTCTGTACTACCTATCATTCCAATGCTGGCTGAAGCGTCATGCATTTCAGCTCCCATGGACGTTAGTGCCAGAGTTTTCTTTAGTGTGCTTATAGAAAGCCTAATCATCGTTCCACAGTTTACTGCTTCTTGGCTGTTTTTAAATGCATATAGCACTTCTGGGGCACGGCATGTTGTTCATCGACCAATCTCAGGTGGCGTGGTCGCGCTCGCAATCAAGCACTCGATACAGGCCTAGACTTGACTAGTGATGCTCAAAACCAGGTCGAATTTAATGAACGAGGTCAAACAATACGCTAACCAAAAGCAGTTACCAAACGGTAATCTCAATTATTAACTTAATATCGCTAAAGACCCTTCGGACATATGCGGTTGGCTCCCGCGCCGTGGAACAGGGGACGCCACCGCCTCGAAGTGCGCGCGACTGCTCCTTCCACCTGCTCTTCGCCGGCACTTGGTCACTACACATCTGAAGGAGGAAACAAACTGACCGAACTCGCTGCAGACTACACGTACCTCTTTGCCGTACAAGCGGGAAGTCGACAAAACGCTTCAAAAACTAGTGCGCACTTGCGCACCTATAGCTTGCGTATCTCCGTAACAAGAGTCTACTAGTTCCGAAAAAAAAACATAAATGCTCACATTAAACATTGACGTTATGGACGCTATGGTAAAGGGAGCAGTGGAAAGTGCGCAAGAGAATCGCTGCGTCACCATGCACTTCCTCAGGTTTTGAAGTCGTGGAGCAGCGTTCGGTTTTGAGTGCGCAACACTGGGAGTGGACAACACCACTCATGCACCTCAGGTTATTGCGACATTTGCCATAGCGGCAAATGTCGCAATAACCTGAGGTGCATGTCATGTGGACCCAGAACTGTCATTAAAACCGACTTGTGCTTTAGCAATTGAAGATTTCCGTATCGACTGACAATGTCGTTTCGTTGTAATGTGAAGTGAACCCAATCACACTAAGTGCATCATGAAAGCAGGAGATCCTTTATAAAAACTTCGCGATTGTATTATCTGGGGTTTAGCGTCCCAAAATCTCCGTATGATTATGAGAGACACCGTAACAGATACGCCGTATAAACGTACATGGGTATCATTTAGTTTCTATTAAAATGCGACCGCCGCGCCGGGGCCAAACTCCCGTCCTTCGAGTCAGCGACCGACTACCATGATCGTTGCAAAACCACAGTGGACAGTTTTGTAGTGTCATATAAAAGTTTTATCGACAAACGAAAAACACAACCCAGATATGGCAAATAATACCCCGGCAAATTTGCTTGCGTTTGCCAGGGGCGTATTAATCTTCCTAAGGACAACCAGTGCGCCAGCCGTTAACGAAGTAAACTAAGAAGACTTGGTCTAACAAAAATATCCCAATACGCACCTGACCTGGCGCAAGCAGGAACGTGCTTGCCGACTCACTTAATCTTCATGTCAACTGGACTAACTTGCCGAATATACCAAGAAAGTACAAAGAAAGGAATGGTAGCCAAATCAGGCTACTGATGCGAAAAGGAACTTCTAGCAGATAGCTATATAGACGCTCAGGCGCAGGCTGCACAAGATATATCACCTGTGAGTGCCAATCTTTTCATTCCCATATCGTCTGGCTCATGTTTTTTTTGCAACCTCTACCGTGTCGTAAGCGGCTAGAAGAAGCCTTGCTTTCGTAGCCAAGTCTAGGGCATTACCAGCTAGCTTGTTTTGCAGAAGCGAAGTCATTTGTTGTGTTTGTGTTTTTGCCTGCCATGGTGCTTCTTTCTCACCAGAGCGTCTTCCTGTTTCTCCATCCTCCTGTCCCTCCTTTTTGCCAAACTATGCCTCTCTCCCTCCCTCCCTCTCTCTGATTCCTTATCCCCAAACGGTCCTCCATTCCTTCTTCCCCATATCTGCGCACCCAACACCAACCTATGCCACAACAAACTCCCGCGCGAGCGCAGTGTGCACAATAATGAAGAACGGCACCTTCTCCATCATCGCGCCCACCACGGCCACGTCTTACGCCACCCTGGCGTCGTACGCCAACACTTTCCGGATGCCCTTTGTGAGCCCCGCGTTCCCACAGGTAAGAAAAAGAGACTTCGCGACAAGCCCAGCATTTCTCCGCTCGAGGAAGCGAGACTTCGCGTCAATCTTTGCCTCGTTTCGTCCTCTTCTCTACAAACTCTCTTCTACAGCTATTTCTTTCTGTCTCTCTCACTCTCTCAGTCATGGCTCCTAGGCCCGTTTATTCCGGCCTACCGCTCCCGTCCTTCGTCATGTCGCAACCGTGCGTCACGTCTCGCTCGTACGAGGCGCAGTCTTTATTGTTTATTGTGCTTTTTTGTTGTTACTGTCGAGGAAAATAGAAAGAACCGCTGTTTTAACAAAAAGCCACTTTGTGCTTGATAAACATTTTATCCATTATTTCGTCTAAGTTTGATAACAATAAGTAATGTTTATTTTTTCTTGTTGTTGTTAACGGGAATATTTCGCAAACCTGGCCGTGATAGAATTCAGGTGACGCTCTCATTCGCACACCCCCGTGCATTTGCGCGGTGACAACGAACTCACTTCGCATCGTTCGAAACACCATTTTCTTGTAGTAGTGGTTTAATCAACGCATGTTAAGGCCCACACAAAAAATATATGCTTGACGCACACGTGCAGGGTAGCGGTTATTCTAGACTGGTTAGCCTTCGTATACTTCTATTTCTTTAAAATTTCTTCTCCCTTTACGCACACAACTTGGGTTAGAGCTATGCCAAATAATCTGTGATGAAAGAGTCAATTTATGGAATGTTGCATACAGTTGTGTTGTGAAGAGAAATTAGAGGTAAAGTGACTAATTTGGTGATTAGGCTTGTTAGCAGATGATTACGTAAGTATGTGCGCTGTAATTACTATTGCAAGAGTCCATGCGCGAAATTTCGTTAATCAACCGTTCAACCGTCATATCGAAAATAATTTCAGATTTGAGACACACCTACCCGGTATGCAACATGAAAAAAGCCCCGCCATTACAGGCAGCACTTTTCGGTGCTCTCTTTCTCTATATTTCATATCATTTATCAAATGGAATAACAATGCCGCAATTATTCAGCAACGCCTTAGCAATACACATCATTGCTATCAAAGTATAAGCTTTGGTAAATCTGCAAATTCCGCGATTATAACACGGCATCTATTGTTGCTCTTACGGTCAAGTACGTGAGTTTTTTTTTTTATTATTTCACGGCCAACAATCACATAGGCCTTACTGTATGCTGATTGGGTGTCTCTTATTCCTCTTTGCATCTTGTTCACCTTACTCGCACTGTAAGCCGGTTCTCATCGTGATAGCAAAATAAAGAAGTGCAAGAAAAAGAAAGAGAGACATTAAACCACGACGTGACATGAAGTGGCCGCACATGCTCACTGGCGCCCTTGATTTTAGCAACCTAGCGCCTGTAATTGTCAAAGACCAATTAATAATTAGGTCTTTGGAAAAACTAAACATGCGCCAACTGCACTCCTTCGCCTCTGCCTCCTCTCCCAGCTGCTACACTCAGCTCCTTCATGGCCTCCGCCAAGAAAATTAGGACACAGGCATGCCCTCTTTCAGTGCACAGGAATGAGTAAGCCGGTGTCATCGTAGAGCACCTGCTCGCTTCGGTAGCTGCGGCACAAGCGAAACAAAACACGCAACAGAGGATGAACAAGATGGCGCTTGCACTAATACAAACACTGTAGAGAGGAGTGGCCAGCACAGTGACTCGAGTAGCGCTACTTTCGTTATTTCAAGAGAATTCGGTAAGAATCAGTGAGGCTCTGTTAACGAAACTCGACGCTGTCTTGCATCCACCTTGCGTACTGCTTGATTTGCATAATCATATTCACGCTGGCAGTGCGCACCGACGCTTTCGCAATGACAGGAGCAGTGACCGCAGTTTGAATTATGCGTGCTTGGTGTATGTTCTTCGTGCCCTCAGATAACGGACGTGAGACCGGCGCTGTACGGGATAAGCCTGCGGCCCCGCTACCTGCCGGCCATCGTGGAAGTGATCAAGCACTACCGCTGGAAGAGCATCCTCTACCTCTACGATTCGGATGACGGTGGGTGCGCGTTCGAATCAAATCTAATCGTAGCCCACTCCGTACACAGGCGTCACTTTCAAACTGCGAAAAAAGAAAAAAGTTGGTTTAAAACATTTCGACTATACTTCACCGCTCCTGGACGCAATTTTAAACGGCGGCAGAGCTTCATGAAACAGAGTTGCGTTAAACAAATTATGAGGCATTAAACAAATGCCTCATTATTGCGAAGTAAGGACACTCGAAAACAAAAACGTACGGATAAAAATAAATGCTAACCAATGATGCGATGCTCAAATTAATCAACGTTCCCATACAAAAGCCAAATTTAGTAATTTACAGTGATATTCAAACTGTTTAGTCAGTCGGTTGTGTGATCTTAATTAGGGCTCTGTGAGGGTATCCTAGGGCATATTTGCTGAGGAACACTTTATTATTACTATAATGTAATAAGAATATTAATAATAATCATAAATTTATTATTAATAAAGTTAATATGAAAATATTAAGTAATAGAGTCTTTCCTTACTTTGAGCCTATGCTAAAGAAAATTAAAACAGCTTCTCCTTACGGGGGTGTCATTCCCGAAGGAAGCGCGGAGCTGGGCAGCCGTCTTTATTTCTCCCTAGTCTTCTTTTTGTTTCCTCCTCTCTTTCTTTTTCTCCGATTTTTCTCTCTCTCTCTCTCTCTTCCCTTCTTCATTTCTGTTACGACGCTGCTATTTTCCGCACACCACTGTAACTTGAACTTTACTTAAGCCCGATGAAACACGGCTGTCAGAGCGTCTTACAAGCCTCGCTGCCAGAGGATAGTAGCATGGTCACCCGGCCCTATTCAAATCATAGCGCACCATCTGAGACAAGTGGATTCTTCCGTTCAACGTATACTTCCCTATAGCTGTCTGTCTGTTTTTTTATGCTTGAAGATCACCTAACTATGTACGCAGAGTCTCACGAAGCGCAGGTATCCCCTTTCTTCGTAACTTGTGAACTTTGTCTGTCGATATAACGACACTTCAGAAGTGGCGCGAAGAGAACTAACGCGTGGAAGAACATCCTTGCGTCCCTCTCTAACGTCATACCCGGTCGCGTGTATTTTCACGCCGATTTTTTTTTCTTCCGATCCTATTGCGTATAAAAGCAGTCGACACGTCCGTTATAAGCTGGACCCCGAGGCGAATATGGCGAGGTCGCAGTCGCCCACACGCGCGTACTACGCTTTCTATACTCGCCACTCACACATGGAGATCCCAATTTTCTTCGGTTCGAAGCGTGAGCCCCGCGTTTTCTCTCTCTCTCTCTCTCTCTCTCTCTCTTTTTTTTTTTTTTTTTGCGTACAAAGAAGGGCCAAGCCACTTCGCGGAAGACAGTTCTCAAAGAATAAGTGAGCAGCAGACAGTCAGACCCCGTAAGAACTTGTTACCATAGACAAAGCACAGAAAAAAACGGAAGCGAAGGTCTTGAACAGAAGAAGAGCATGAATCTCGCTCATGTAGTTCTTCGCGCTGCCTTCTTTCCCACTCTGGGGCCAACAGCAGCGTTGTTCCACCGGTACATTTTTTTTTTCTTTTTTGGCCCCGTGCCTCCTCAATCGAGACCACGCGGCGGCTCCCGTTTGATTACGTGCCGTGGAATCTGAGACAGTGAAAATTTTTCGCACCCTGTTCGACAATGCGCGTGTTTCGGTGCTTTCTTGTGTGCGTGTTCCTTGTCATGCTTCGCGGTTTTTCGTCCTTTGACACATTTCTTTTGCTGCTACTGCTAGGCCCTCGAGATGAGTTCCCCTTTCCCTCTACTATTCTGCCTGTCTCTCTTTCTAAGTTGCTCACCGATTTGCTGGTTCCTTTATAGTCTGTTGTGTTCGTACCCACGCTTCGAAGAACTCGGGTCGAAAAGGAAAAGCTTTCGTATGGCCCTTCCTTAGATCAAGCCTCATAATGGAAGCAGTTTCTTCTTTGAGAGCAGTGCTCGCGAAGGCTGCATTTAAAGCAGCGCGCAGAGCGACGGTAATCGTCCGACGTTTCCTCGGAACGCAGGCGCACCGAAAAGCAGAGCTGTCATTCATTTGTTTTTTTAATGATTACTGCCTTTACACGCAGCTTTAGAATTTCTCTTTTTGCTTCCCGTGGTTGACTGACAACTACAGGGTAGCAGTACGGGTCGTCCTTAGGGCGTCACTATGCCTTGTCATTACTGGCACGTTGAATAAAAAATCACAGCATATCCACGGAATGAATAATGATGAGTGGGGCGAAGTGTCCGTCAATCCACCCGTGGTTCCGTCCGTGCATTCGCCCGTCCATACATGCGCCCATTAGTGCATTCGTTCGTGCGTCCATCCATGCATCCGTCTGTTTGTCTATCTGCCCGTCCATATGGTGATCACTTCAAGTACCACCATCTCACTTCTTTTTATTATATATTCATCATATACAAGTACCACCATACAGCGGGTAATCCAAGGACTAAACGAGAGTATGTGCCACAGTACTGCTGTCAGCGATTTGTTAACACCGAGAACATGATAACGATGCCGCGCTACGTTTTTCGTAGCATGTGGACATGTGGATATGGGCCCGATGGCGGGTATGTGCCACAGGCTACGTACTACGACAACGGGACGCACAAGCCACGCCATGAGGAGCTTCGCCGCTAAAACACCACCTGCAAGCTTACCACATATGTAGACATTCACCTAGTGGCACAAATCTCCGCATCTTGGAGGGCAATGTAATGCACTTAGTAACTAAGTGTATAGCTCTGTTCTTGAGAAAAGCTGTCGGTGACCAATCTGCTTTAGCAAATATTTTACATGTAGGGTAGGGTGGTGTAAAATGCGACAAAACTTTCAAAATCACGAATATTTATTTTATTTCACTCCTTGCAATTGAACATCAATGCACAAACTTTCCTATGGGTACAAGGTATGTGCTACATAAATATGGCCTTGATGCCACAGTTCAAATTATTATTTTAAAAATAAATAAATAAATGACCCAGATGTCTCTTTTTGACCCTAGCTGCAGGGGGGTGAACGAGACGATGCGTGGGGCGTTATGAGACAGTGTGAAAAAAATTATTTTTCAGTTTTTGCAGTAAATTAACTTGAAAGTAACTCTGTGGGCTCTTACGTAGTCTTAAGAAGCATAGTTTTGGACTTCACGCATTGAATCTAGACAGAGCGCGGTGTGGTGTTGGTCCTAAACTCCTTGCAGATCAAACACTGCCACTCTTTCTTTGTGCTTGTATTGTCTTTTGTAGAACGCTTGCTTCTCGTTGGATTACTCAATAATTAAATGTTAGAGCTGTTTTGACGTATTTCTTTCAGCTCTGTTTGCTATTTTGATGCAGAACTGCTTAGGCGTTTCATGAGTTTTGACTTGTCCCGCCGGGCTTTGCGGGGCAATGAAATTAAAACTGTGCTTGATTCAGAGTATCTATCGCTTGTGTTTATTTTCAATTAGGGCATTGGAGAAACGTCCTTTAAACTGAATCCCTAGACGTGTTCTTCAACTTCACTTGGATATTCCGCCATTTTTATGCATTTCTCGTGAGCATCCTTGGGAACGCAGAAACACCTAGATGCAGCGTGAATACAGAGAGTCGTGTCCTGAATGGCAATCAGTGCTTATTCATGTCATTTTTCACCCAGAAAGCTCCACATGGTATTCTCTTACACGTCCATACTCTTCCAAACAAATAAATATAATATATAGTGAGTGTAGGCAACTGGTTCAATTATTAGTATTCTTTTTAAGTAATTAGATGCCTTTCCGTCGCGTTTTGCCCCTCTCACATGCCAGCATTGAAAAAGATTTCCGATTTGTCTCTGGGCACCAAACAAACTAAAGTTCAGGTGTTATGTAGTTCGTAGTTTAAAGTAACAAAATGAATGATTACGTTACTGTACTGGCACAGGAGTAGCTTCACGCATGGATCCGAAAAAAAGGCCGAGCATACTTTCGCCTCTTTTTGACAGGTCACGAACATACTGACACCAGCCACGCAGTTTTTCCCGTGCTTCGAGCAATCATAATAAACTTTTACACATGAAAAGGTAGACAAGGACCAGCGCTTATCGCTGGAAAAGACAAATAAGGAAAAGTAGTTTCTGTATTAGCTATACACAGGCCGGCGAAGCCAAAATGCCGCGTGTTTCTCCTTGTATAATTTTACCCCAGCCTACCCTTTACAGTGTTTCTTCAAGCATAACGTATTTCAAATCGAGTAATGGGAAATAAAAAGTCAAAATAAATGGAGGAGATTACGTGCGTGTGCGTGCATGAGTGCAGTACATATCCAGCTTTCTATAGCTACGGACCACCTGTCTGTCGATCAGTAAATCAACCATGCCATGCAGCTGAGTTATAGCAAGATACATTATCTACTTTTACACTTTGGTACAGTTTTGAGCCCTTTGCACATGCGCTGTGTCACCTATACCTCCTAAGGTCCTGAGCTATCGCATTGATCGCACCAACCATGCGAGAGCTCTGGCGGTCACCTGGTTCATTGGTGATACATGGGTTAAAGCACCCAGTACTCGTACCCTCATGAAGTCAAGTAACACGACATATATTCGTTGCTAGCGTGTAACAGTCGTGAATATGAACAAGCGATGTCGAAGGTAAGCCTGTCGTGCAAATCAATGCCCAGTAGCAAACAACGCAATCGAACGAGCGATGGGCTTCAAGAGAGCAATCAGTTTTCGCGGACTGGCTGTATACACATCTAACGCCGAAGTTTCAACTGGTCACACCTTACTACTCATATCAGAGAGTAGTCGAAACTGAAAGGCAATAAATGAATTAACTGGAATGAAACAGGAAAGATCGCAAGTTCGCAGGAGCGGTAACTAGGTAAGTGAAAAGAAGCTGCTAAGTGAACGAGCAAGAGAAGTATCGAATATGTGTAAATAATGAAAACGTGAGACCCCAACGCATTACGTGCACGCGAGCAGAAAAAGAGATCCTAAATTACCCTAATCATGTATAAGCCGGCCAGCTGAGCCCGGCATTCGTG